TCCTCCCTCCTTCTCTCCCTTCTTTCATAGCAGCCAGTTGTAGAGTTTTGAGAAGGGATCAAGGCCAAATGACTGGAAGCTGACCTTGGGCACCAGCCAAGTCAACCAGAGCTCTGTGAAGCGGAACTACACAAAAGACTTTGCGGAAGAGTTGATTCTACTCCGGACCAAATCAAAATCTTGCAGGGTCCTGAGATAATGGTGAAGATGAGAACAGAAACCAGAGGAGGCTTTGGAGAGACCTCGTACCTGACTCATAGACACGGAGCCCTTGTAGCTCATGTCTCCTTCTCTCCCGCTTTTCATCTTCCCATGTTCCTTTCTCTCGCCCCCTCCTGTAAAAACCCCTCAGAAAATCTAAGTCTTTGAGAAGGGACAGAGGACAGACTACCATCTCCTTCAGCTGAATACGTCTGCTTTTCTAACACCAACCGTTTGACTTCTCAGTCTTTTTTTGTCTCCTTCTCAAGTGGGCAAGCAGCTGGTCCTGAGTTCAGTAATATTTGGAATAACACCAAGTGGAACAGGTATCCCCTTATAGTCAAAAGCTGCAAACTGTAAGTCATACACAGAAGAAACATTGGTTCATTTCCATCAGGAGACATATACAAAAATATTCAAAGCAGCATTTTTATAATTGGAAGCGATGCTTTTAAAATGTCCAGCAATATCAAAAAAGATCATTGTTAAAAATAATTTTAAAAGATCATTATTATTGTGTTAAATACTGGAAATTTTCTCAGAGACTAAATTTTTAGTACTGTTACCACCAAAAGTGTAACTACGTGAGATGATGGGTATGTTAATTTACTTGACTGTAATAATCATTTCACTATGTACATGCTTATCACATTATGCTATACATCTTAAATATAGACAATAAAATAAATAAAAGTGCTACTTCCTTGCCAAAAAAGATAATTATTTCATGATATCATCATGTATCTTGTAAAGATATACAGCATGAAAATGAACTTCCGAGTGAATCTCAAAAACATAATGTTGAGCAAAAGAAGACACCGAGTTCATTCATTAAGATTTAACTTTGTAATTTTTATTTTAATTGACACATAATAATTGAACATATTTATGGGGTATGATGTAATGTTTTGATACATGTATACACTGTGTAGTGATCAAATCAGGATAATTAGTTCATCCATCACTTCAAATGTTTCTCATTTCTTTGTGGTATGAACAAAATTCTCTCTTCTAGCTATTTTGAGATATACAACATCTTATTAAAGTCCAGCTTTTAACAAGTTAAAACAGGCACATTTATAAATCATACTGTAGGTCAAAAACAGTGAAATGTTGTCATTTTCAGAGGGTTTGATCTAATATAAAGAATAGCAAAGAAAATGGTTAATATTGAACAAAATTCAGGATAGTGCTTTCTTCTGGGAAAGACTGAGGGTGGTTAGATTTTGAGAGTCCCACAGAAGGATTCTAAGTTGATGGTAACAATCTATTTTTCAACCTAGGTGGTGGATATATATATATATATATATATATATATATATATATATATATATACTTTTATTATACTAATATCCAATAAGAATCACAGATACATATTTCACACTCTCTTTACATATGATATATTTCACAAATATAATTGAGTGAAAGGTCATTTATACACAGTATTCTAGAATTAAAAATATCCTTAGAATTTAGAGCACTTTAACCTCTCATGATGTGCTTCTTTACCTCGGTTTTCTAGGAACCTGCCCAGAGCTCCAGAGTTAATAGTGCTTAAGTGAGGTCAAGGGAGGTGCAGTTTTAACTTGGACCCCAGATGCTGCAGATATCTATAGACATGGTTAGGAGAAGCAATCCCTGCACAGCCATTGTGGAAAACAGTATAGAGACTCCTCAGAGAACTAGAAATAGATCCACCTTATGACCCAACTAACACACTGCTGGGTATATACCCAAAGGAGGTGAAATCAATATATCGAAAAGACACCTGCACTCCCATGTTCACTGCAACGCTATTCACAGTAGCCAAGAGATGGATTCAACATAAATGCCCATCAATGGACGAATGAATTTAAAAAACTGTGGCATATACACAATGGAATACTGTTCAGCTTAAGAAAGAAATGATATTCTGTCATTTGCAGCAACATGGATGGAACTGGAAACCATCACGTTAAGTGAAGTAAGTCAGGCACCGGAAGACAAATACCACACGACCTCACTCATGTGGAATCTATAAAAAGGGAAAGTGATTCTCATGGAAGTAGAGAATAGAATATTGGACACCTGATGCCGGGGGTTGGGGGAGAAACAGTGGTGGACTAATGGGTGCAAACTGTGCTGTCCACCCTAAGTGAATCATTGTGTGGTATATGCACGTATGGAAACTACACACTGTATCCCACGAATGTGCACAAGCAAATGTTAATATTAAAAAATTAATAAAATCCCCTATCAAACGCCTTGAATGCCAATCTGGGAGCTGTCCCGAAGCTGTGGTGCTACAATTATGGGGACCAGGGAATGACCAGAACAGAGACTCTCTGGTAACTCCCTTGATTTTCCTGGAAGCCACCCACTCTCACCACAAATTATCTCCTTGATGTAAAAATGATCACACATAAAAGTGACTTTCTTTTCACTTCTTTCTAGTGTTACACCCAACACCTTTCCCACACAGCAAAGTCCCTCTAAGACTGCAGTGATTCCATTAGTTTTATTCAAACCTGTTTATTGTGTGGACTTTACTTGAGATGAATTAGCAATGAACAGAAATGGTGACATAAGGAGGAAGGAGAAAAAGTCGAAGTCACTTTTAGCAGTTAATCAACGAGAAGGAATCAAAGAAAGCAACTGAACTGCCAGGGGGATACGATCAACCTGAGGGTTGAATGCCCAATAATTATTTATGTGATTATATTACTAGATCTACAAAAAATGCTGAAACATACTAAAATCACAGCTAAGAAAGCTAACTGCTGGGGCAAAGGCATAAAAAAAATATGTGAAAGCAAAAGGATTACAAGACCCAAGAACAGAGAACTAGGTATGGAGTACAATCATACTAAATTTTATCGAGCACTTACTGTTTACCAGAAATTGTGCCAAATGATTTCCCCACAGTTAATACATTGTAGATCAGTGTGACTCACAGGGTAATCCTCAGACCATTCATGCTGGCCCCGACTAGAATCCTGTTAGAAATGCACATTCATGAGCTCACTCCACACGGCTGACTCACAAATGAAACTGTGTTACAAAAAGCTCTCTGGGTGATTCTAATTCACTGTAAGGCTTATGTACCACCTGGCTGCTTAGTTTAATTCACTCAGAATAATCCCACTCCCCTCATCAGGGATTAGTTCACAAATGGGCACAAGTATCAATTTTGGACTATAATATGCGAGAGGATGTTTTTGGAATGTTTTCTTGGAAAGGTCTCCTCTCTGTTAAAAAAAAAAAAAAAAAAAAAAAAAAAGACCCAAGGAAGACATAGCTTTCTTACTCTAGGTGACATGTGAGGATATGATACCTGCAACTGTTCTATGCATCTGGTGACCATGAGGGGAACCAGCGCCAGGATGAAACTAACTCACGGAACCCAGTGTGATGCGCCTGGATGCACATCTTACGAACTCTAATTTATTAAAGGTAATTGTCTCAATTGTTAGTGCTAACATGAGTAAGAGCGCGCACACACACACACACACACACACACACACACACACACATATATATATTTGTATTTTTTTTCTTATTTGAGTAAGAGGCATCCTCACTGATTGGTTCAAACATCTTGTAATTATGTCAGATGCTGGAATAAAGTACATATGCCAATTTCATGGATGCAGAAGTCAAGTGTGGGGGAGCTGTTGGTGCTGTGCAGAGAGCCATTTATCAACCACTGAGCTCACACCCAGCTGCTGTCAGGGTTGACCAACGAGGAATAGCTGCTTTGTTCTCTGGAAAACTACCTCAGCCAGCCAGAGGCCTGTCAAGGTAAGTCATTGTCACAGACCCAGTGATAAAGCTCAGGTTGTCATGGGGGTAAAAAACAGGCCTTAAGATGTGAAATACCAGGGTGTTATTGATGAGGGTGTCAGAACAGGCAAGCTTGATGACCTGAGCGAGTTCACAGAAGAAGTGGGGGATTTCCAGGTCTGTGCAGAAGGACAGTCGCAGCAGCATCAGACTATGCAGCAGGGAATCCGCAACACTAATGAGCCAGGAGAGTAGAATCAGCAGGCCACAGAGGCGGGGGTTCATGATGACTGTGTACCTCAGTGGATGGCAGATGGCCACGTAGCGATCATAAGCCATGGCTGCAAGGAGAAAGTTTTCCAACCCAGCAAAAGCCAGGACAAAGCAGACCTGAGTGAGACACCCGGTGTAAGTGATGGATTTGCTCTGTCCCTGGATGTTCATAAGCATTTTAGGGACCGTGGTGGTGCTGAAGCAGACATCAATGAAGGACAGGTTGGAGAGGAAGAAGTACANCAGCCAGCCAGAGGCCTGTCAAGGTAAGTCATTGTCACAGACCCAGTGATAAAGCTCAGGTTGTCATGGGGGTAAAAAACAGGCCTTAAGATGTGAATAATTCAGGGAAGCCACACACATGGCACTATCCATGTATTCAGACTGAGACTCGTCCTCTAGCTGTAATAAAATCCTTACTCAGCTCCTTCCCTCACTACGTCCTGTCCTCCTGCCATCACTAACATTCTCCTGAGAACACCCCCCCCCCATTACTACAGCAAGAATCCTTTGTTCCAGTTGTGCCTCTGTGGTACCTGATCAACAGATCAAGCTCAGAAATGTCACAAATGTTCAAAAATCCCAATGCTTGGGAAGACCAAAGTCATTTTTCAAACCTAAATTGAACTAGCCTCAGTCATTACGGTACGTCACTATCGTAGCATCAGAATCTGGTGATGGGAAAGTCTGACTTTCTGCCACCCCCTGTTGTATTCCTGTACTTGGATTCATTCTAGAAGCCCAAGTCCAGGGCAGATGACACATCACAGAAAAGATGTTCTTCCAATGAGTTTCTTCAAGGCTCCCTTCATGTCCCTGTTCCTCAGGCTGTAGATGAAGGGGTTCATCATGGGAGGGACCACCGTGTACATCACTGAGGCTACTGCAGTCTTCTTGGAAGATTCAGTAACCGCAGAACTAATGTACACCCCAAAAGCTGTACCGTAGAATAAGGACACAACAGAGAGATGGGACCCACAGGTGGAAAAGGCTTTATACTTTCCCCCCGCTGACGGCATTCTCAGAATGGAAGAGACAATGTGAACATAAGAGTAAATAATCCCAAGGAGAGGAACACCACCCAGTATGCTCGTCACTGAGTACACCAGGGTGTTATTGATGAGGGTGTCAGAACAGGCGAGCTTGATGACCTGAGCGAGTTCACAGAAGAAGTGGGGGATTTCCAGGTCTGTGCAGAAGGACAGTCGCAGCAGCATCAGACTGTGCAGCAGGGAATCCGCAACACTAATGAGCCAGGAGAGTAGAATAAGCAGGCCACAGAGGCGGGGGTTCATGATGACTGTGTACCTCAGTGGATGGCAGATGGCCACGTAGCGATCATAAGCCATGGCTGCAAGGAGAAAGTTTTCCAACCCAGCAAAAGCCAGGACAAAGCAGACCTGAGTGAGACACCCGGTGTAAGTGATGGATTTGCTCTGTCCCTGGATGTTCATAAGCATTTTAGGGACCGTGGTGGTGCTGAAGCAGACATCAATGAAGGACAGGTTGGAGAGGAAGAAGTACATGGGGGTGTGCAGGTGGGAGTCTGAGCTGATGGCCAGGACGATGAGCAGGTTCCCCAGCACCGTGACCAGGTACATGGTCAGGAAGAGTCCAAAGAGAAGGGGCTGCAGTTCAGGATCGTCTGAGAGACCTAGGAGGAGGAATTCTAGTACATCTGTTTGGTTTTCCAATTCCATGTTTTTGCGAAATCTGATGGGAAAAGTACAGCTGATGGGACAGATAACAGATGTACAAGGATCCCTTATTTTAGAAAACTTTTGCGTCTACACTGTGAAGTGAACAATACTAACCTTCCCCTCCGTCTTCTGCATCTCTCTCCCTTCTTCAACCTCCTTTCTGTCTGTCCTCTTCTCTCCTACAACCCGAATATCCAGATTTTATTTACTGAATACCTACTCTTTCCCAACACTGTACCAATTAATAGGAATAAAGTAGGAAACAATACATGACTGTTTCCTTGAGCATCTTCAAAGCCTCAAACCAGCAAGAAAACCAGAACCAAACATAGTAAATCTCAGTTGACAATCACAGTGTCAATCACGGTGTCAACTCAGACACACCTGAGTTTAATTCTGGCTTCAGCAAATTCAGCAATGCTTAATTGTTCTATTATTCTGTGCTGTTCTGCCTTTTACAATTTTAAATATTTCATAGATTATAAAGAGAAATGAGTAGACTGGAGTGTAGTCTTGGGATCTGTCTTTTTCTCTACCTTCTCTCTCTCAGAAAACT